CATCAGATAATACAAGTTAAAAAGGCCGACTTTAGTGGGAAAACGGCCTGGAAATGCTACAAACATTCATTATATGTTTGATGTGATAAATGATCAGTGGATGCTCTGTGAATAGAAGTGCCTTGAGAACAGTTCTCTGCTAATTCAACACTTCCCCACTGTGCCGTTATTTTTTATTACTTGTCTCATTTGTTTTGACTGAGACAGGCAATTGAGTTTAGAAATAACACCGTTGCAATAATGGAGGCTATTTTAAAATGGCCACAGGGTCCAGTGAAGGTTTTTTTTCTTTTTTTTACACGTCTAGACTTGATTGCCTGAATAAAGTCAGATGGGACTGATGTGAAGTTTAGTTACTATGGCAACAAATAAAGGCAAGGATTCATCAATTTGAAACCAGAAAAATAAAGTTAGCTTCAAACTCAACTCATGGGATGGGACCTTCAAAAGAGGTGTTTTAAAAAATGGAAAATTGTTTATTCACTTTGTGTTATCTAGATGAAGTTCTGAGTCTCTGCAGGGATCCACAGCCGCTTCGCTGCATGGTCATGATTGTCATTTTCTATTGATGTATCCCAGTGTGAACTTCCCCACTGGCCAAATAACAACAGATTTATAATTTATGCTACTGTGACAATTAGTCTTTCATCCTACCAGGACCAATGGAGACTTTTCTATGTTTACGCATAAATCGATAGTTACTTTTCTATTATAATGACAATGATTAAATCATGTGTTTCCATCTGGATGAAGAATCAGTGCTTGTGAGTTTTTGAGAACGAAGAAGGAAGCACCCTCTCTACAAAAATGTAATTAGAATACATGCTCTGACTATATAGGCCTTACTAGCTTTTCAGAGCTTTTGTTTGTATGTCGCTGTCTTCTTTAGCGAGTGGTGCTAACTGAGGTGTTGTGATGAGACCAGATGAGATCTCTAGATTGTAAGATTCGATGTCATTTGATAACAGGTGGTTGTTTATGGGGGCAAAATGGCATCCCTTATATTTGATGAAAATTCATTTTACGCAATAAATAAGTTAGAAAACGACTGAACTAACGCTAGAACCAAACATCAGCTGTGGAAAGAGGTCAAGGCATCGACCAGAAGTCAGTGGGTGGTCGAGGAAAGATCAAAGAAGCCATTAGTCTTGTTAATATGTTATGGATGTAACACACATCAAATATGAAATTGCTCTTCATACAGTAAAAGCCTGTCCATAAACTTTGGAGCTCTTGTTGAAACCCTTACTGAAATACCCCCAAGAGATAGTACTTGCACACCTTGGAAGTATACAAGGGGTCTTTCCTTAAAGTGGACCTATCATGCTATATTTGAATAATATAGTGTAGGACCATACCTATATAAGGCATATTTATACTTTTTTTTTTTCAAAATACCAAACAGATCATGCATTTGAGCCATGCCTCATTTCGCTCAATTTGACATTTTTTTTGCTCTGGATTTGCAAGGGCTGATTCTGTGAGAACAGCACCATCTACAGGCCTGGCATATGTACTACAGCGTCTCCAGCGCTTTCGAACGGCAATGGCCGTGGCTGTCTCCTCCTGATTGGTGGAGTTGGCCCAATAGCCGTAGCGCCACCGTCCTGACGTCAGGACAGTGTTCAAATCTGGATCAGTTTTTATCAGATCCGTTGCAGCCCCTTTTTTAGAGATTTGGGTATGGAGGAAAATAGAGGGGGTTGTGTTTTCTGACACTTGGTGAGTTCCCTGGAACACCGGGGACACATATTCATGTATAAAAGACGTACAAAAGTGCATTTTGCATGATAGGTCCCCTTTAACACTTACAGTTATTGTAATATTACACCTAGTTTGAGTTATGAAGAATGATTTCTAGAGGAATCTCCCAAAAAGGGTTCAAGGCATTACCACATTACCTTCAGCAGGCCAAAATGGCTTTCTGAACAGCACTATTTAAAAAAAAAAACTCTGATAAAAGCCCAATTTCTAGAAGTGCAACTGCCAAAAGAAACCTCTTCAGGCATGAGAAGAATAGCTTCACACAGTGTTTTGGCATAGACAAGTGTGTGTGTTGTACTCACGAGACTAGACAACATTTCCTCACCAACAAAGTCCTCGTCTAGACGTGTTCTGCTGATGGTTACTGACACTGCCTCAGACACACATCTGGACTCGCTCATATGTGTGAAATCGAGTTGAAGTGTGATGACTGGAAAGACTGTGGCGTATGTTTTTGAATGACAAGCTCTGTGTGAGTGAGACTGGCTTTGGCAACACTTTGGTAGAAATGTGACTGAGCCATGGTTGGTTGCTGTTATATCTTTTTTTGGCAGCGTTTCTACATCAGATGGTCAAAGTTTTTTTGAAACTACAGTATGAATTATTAATCCGTACCCACTAGAGATGATGAAGGTAGAGCAGAGATGGTGCTGCCTCGATATGTTGTCGACCTGAAGCCCAGAGAGTCTGTAAATGCTGAGATTTTAGGTAAAAGTAGACCTATCCAAACATCACATTTGTATTCCTCGCCGCCTTTAAAATGCATGATTTTGGCTGTATTTTCAAATAACTCTCATCAAACACATTGAGATGACGTTCAACGTTTTTACTTCAATTAAAACAGGCATTGTTGCCATGGGATTTCTAGCCCTCAGTTACATTTTGTATGATTGACATTTCCCTCAATGTCAGTTACAGCAATACCAGGAAAATGGACTTCACAAAACAGCCTTAATAACAACCTTTTACTCTGCTAACAGCACGGGAACGGACCTTATTTGACCTCCTTTAGTGCGCACATATTCTCATGTTTACTTTGTTGAGCACAGACTGAGAGGGATGACTCACCTGAACTTTCTTCTTTCTCCATGGTTATGAAAATCAATGTGACCTGTGTGATAGAAAAGTTTTTGTTAAATGAAGGAACAGTTCTCTTCTTGCAACCTTGAATGACGTTCCCTTTCAACTGAACTGCATTACTAATTCAATGAAACAAACTATCCAACTGTTTAAGGTCGCAGTTTCAAACGTACATTTAACGTTGTGAATAAAAACGTAAGAAAACCAAATCACACAAAATGACTTGCGTATGTTCAGACAACAAATCTACTTCGTTATGTTTGATATACGATCATGGTTTGGCTTGAAATAGGTACATATTGAAAATGAATCCAAACAAATAGTAGTGTGAGAGGTAAATGTGGGGAAACAGTTTAGAAACACAATTTCTTTTGGGAAGGAAAACTCCATTTTTTTTTGTTGGACTTGTGAGTCTTTGTTTTTTTCAATCGACTTCATGTATGTGATGTAAAATGCAAAGGCTTGCTGCCTCATGATTGATAAATCAATGCAGGGAATTGTGTTTCGAGACAGTAAAGGAGCCCCAAAGCGCTGGCACAAATCACTGAGAACTGCTTTGAAGTTGTATTAGTTAGAGTAATTGGCAATTCATTCAATGCATGACAAGTTAAGTGCTTGATAATTATGGGGTCCTTCTTGCAATATATTTTAAAAACCTCACCGGTCAAAGTGTTTCCTTTTATTGTTGCTGTAAACCTTTAAATGCAGAGTATTTTTACACCATATTGTGTGCAAACTGGAAGATCTTGTCTCTCTTTTCAGTGGGGCAATATACTGTCAGGATTATTCAGGAAACAGAAATAACTTTCCAGAATAAGCCTTTGGTAATTGAGTGCAAAGCAGCAAGTTTTATATTAAAAACTTCACCATCACAAAGTAGAACTTCATTACTCATACACCAGCTATAGTCCAAAGATGAATCCAATATCCGATCTATATCCACCATTTTAATATGCTTCATTTGGAGTGAATTATATTAGCATAATGATGGTTATTACAGGATTCTTTATTGATCCTCGGGAACATCACATTTTATCTTGTTTCCTTTTCTTTCCCAAGACATTTGATCAAATAAATCCAGCGCTATTAATAAACCAGACATGGTACGTTGAAGTGCTTTAACAGAAGAAGCCATCTGTGAATATGAGATTTAAAAAAAAACTTTAAGTAACTTTTGAGCAATCAAAGTAGATTCATGTTAGAAAAGAAAAAAAGCAAAGAAGTATATTATGGCTCGGCTTATTTCTGATGGAAAGTGACTGCTGACAGAAATACTACAAATAGAAATGGGTCTTTAGGTGAATCAGAGAGTACTGAAGAGTCACGGATTTTCTCAGTATTTTATGATCAATATGTAACAAGGTTTACGATTAATGTATTGTCCATTGAGAAGCCTCTCTTAAGGTACATTAAGTGCCATCAGCGTCCAAAGTGCCATGACCACTTCCACCATTGTCATAGCATTGATTTTTGCAGAGAGGACTAGGTGATCCCGAAAATCCTTGTTATTGCTGACTTTATGAGAATACTTATAATGCAAGAAAGGGACTCAAATCCATTCCAGGCAGTCTATTAAAATGAAAACCCTACCAAAGATTACTGAGCATGAAACGCAGAAACACCGAATGATTAGCTTAGTTTCCACAAATGGGAAATATTATGTAGCTCTATCTACACATTTTTCTCATTATGATGGATTTACAGACTAGAAGTAATTTCTAAAGTTCTTCTGTCATGACCCAAACTGTTTCAAATGGTGTTTATATTTATTTAGTATTTTAGATGTTCATGTCCCATGTTGTGTTTTTCATTGATTTTATCAATTGCATTTATACTTTTTGGTAGACCTGTTTAAGTCGGTTTGAGACTGAATTAAATTATTATTATTTTGTATAGGCCTATGCGGTACTTTTTTTTCTAATGTTCTGTATTTAACTTTGTTTCAGTTAATAAAGTAGAACGAATGAGAGAGAAACAAAATCAAACAAATAAACTGATGAATGAATAAAGCTTAAAAAAAGAGGCACTAAATTAAGACACAAATGAGCAACAAACAAGAAACTTTGGAGCAGTAAACTACATTACCCCAACTAAATGCGAGCGCACATTACTACGGCAAGCGGGAGGAGGAAATTAAACCTTCGCGTTTCGTTTTT